GAAAAGAAGGAAAATTAAATGGGAATAAATAATAAATAGTATATAGTAAAGCAGATACTCGACATTTACAGTATCGAAACTAATGAATATCTTCTTTCTCAGTGACATTTATGGTCGCGGAACAATGCGACCGGCGTGTAACTTAATTAAGGCAACGACGCAGACCCAACCACGGTACTGCGGGCACTGTTACTATATATCTGTTCACAATATTATCTAGTCTGCTCTTTGTATAACCACACAGAACGCACAAAATGGACCAGGGGAATTGTATTTTGTTGCTTAACTAAAACCTCTCACACTAAATAAATTCTCATTTTAGAATAACGAAATTCTTTAATAGTACTATTTTCATTTTACATAGATATTGGTGAATAATTTATATTATTTATACTTTTCTCCATTCAATACTATATATAATTAAAAATGTGCGATCAATAGATTATTTTTATAATTTTTTTTTCAGATACGTATAATCAGCGACTCCAAAAAAAAACCCCAAATAAAAAGATTCAAGAAAATCCATTGAATTTTTAAAAATATGTCCGCCATATTCGATCCGCCATTTTGAATTTAAAAAATTTTTTGAAATCTGATTTCAGATTCGTAATCACCGACTCCAAAAACGCACGTGTAACAAGAATCAAACGAAGCATTATAATTTTAATAAACTATACCATCGCGCGCTTTAGCGCGCTGATTATTATTATTTAATTATTAAAATTATTTTGTATTTTATATAAACAGAAGTATAATGATGTTTTATATGAAATTTTCTATTGATACTACATTCGACTAATTGATTTTATTAGTTTTACTAAAAAGCGTAAAGAAACAACAATTTGGTATGACCTTTTTATAATAGTATAGGATTTATAATAAAATTTAATACTATTTTTTGAAGTAAAAAATACTTTTTTCAAATCATACTAACTGGAAAATAACTAGAAAATAACTGAAAAACAAGTTGAAAATTCAAATGTTCATTATACAGGAACAATTTGCTTCCTCGTGGAGAAAGCAAAATTTTATTGACAAAATGAGAATTTTTGAATTTTTAACTTTCATTAATTCCTTAAATTTACCTCAAATGTATACTTTATAATATATATCGATCGATTCGTCTTAACGTAAGAAATATGATTTTATTATATATAACCTTAAATTTTTCTATTTAAAAATTTTTTCGATTAAAAAACTTTAAACTTTAAACACTTTGAAAATTTTTAGAAACGAAAGGACTACAAAGCTTCCTCCACGAGGAAGCAAAAAGTAACCAAAAAATTCAATTTTTCATAGGCAGACGATTTCATTGCATATTCTTGAACAAAATACAACCAAAAGTGTATAGAAAAAAATTGACACCCAGATCCGAGTAGAGGAAGAACCCCATTTCTACCAAAAAGGCTTCAATAACCATAAAAAAGTTTTCAAAAAAATTCAATTTTTCTTAGGCAGATTATTTTATTGCATATTCTTGAACAAAATACACCCAAAAGTGTAGAAAAAAATTGAGACTTAGATCTGAGTAGAGGAAGACACATATTACCACCAAAAAGGCAACCATAACCATAAAAAAGTTCCCAAAAAAATTAAATTTTTCTTAGGCAGGCGATTTTTTTTGCATATTCTTGCACAAAATACACCCAAAAGTGTAGAAAAAAATTGACACCCAGATCGGAGTAGAGGAAGACCCCTATTACCACCAAAAACTCTACCATAACCATAAAAAAGTTCCCAAAAAAATTCAATCTTTCTTAGGCAGATTATTTTATTGCATATTCTTGCACAAAATACACCCAAAAGTGTAGAAAAAAATTGACAACCAGATCCGAGTAGAGGAAGACCCCTATTACCACCAAAAACTCTACCATAACCATAAAAAAGGTCCCAAAAAAATTCAATCTTTCTTAGGCAGATTATTTTATTGCATATTCTTGCACAAAATACACCCAAAAGTGTAGAAAAAAATTGACAACCAGATCCGAGTAGAGGAAGACCCCTATTACCACCAAAAACTCTACCATAACCATAAAAAAGGTCCCAAAAAAATTCAATTTTTCTTAGGCAGACTATTTTATTGCATATTCTTGCACAAAATACACCCAAAAGTGTAGAAAAAAATTGACACCCAGATCCGAGTAGAGGAAGAACCCCATTACCACCAAAAAGGCTTATATAAACATAAAAAAATTTCAAAAAAATTCAATTTTTCTTAGGCAGACGATTTCATTGCATATTCTTTCACAAAATACACTGAAAAGTGTAGAAGTGGAAGTTAAAGTGAAATTCTAAAAGTGAAGGGATGAATCTAAAAATGAAATTACAAATTTATATTTGTTACCTTTTTACCTATTTTTCAAAAGAACAGGAGAATTTAATACTTTTCTCAGGTATTTTAATAGTGACTATATGTAAGTACATATTCAGTTCGGAAGTGACGAGAAGAAATGGCAAAGGATAAAGGGCGTCAGAAGTAAAAGGGCATTCTTGACGAAATGCCGTGACGGCCCGTTGGCCCCAAAGTCGATAGCGTATCGCTTTCACAGAGGCAAAGGTTACCGAATCGTTTCTAGACTATCTTAATGGCTGAAAAGATCGTTCGATACTATGGCCGAGTCGTAAAGGCTATTGCTCTTCCCTTCTTGCCGCTGTTTCTCTCGTTGCTTTTCCATCGAACAACCCTTCGTTATATATATATATATATATATACTTCTAGGGATGGGAAGAGGGGGTGCCGTGGAAACTTGGATTAGCGCCACTCGAATCACCCCGCATTGAGTTTTTCACGCACCCCATTTATTCCTAGGTGGATGACATTGAATGGATCTTACATTATACTCTATTCTCGATCGCCATTTCTTATATAATTAATTACTACCACACTCTTTTTTTTGCCTCCACGACCCTTATTCATCGACCAATAAACACATGAGGTCTTGAAAATGTTAGTCACCCTTATATGGGCGGATCTTTGAATTGTCATTCTATATTGCATTATGTATTGAGTAAAACATAAAATGTGACAATCTTTTTTATATGGCGGATGTGAGGAAAATTATTGCCATTATTCTTGAGTATTTTCGGTTCGTTTAACATATGGAGTTCGAAGAGTCATTTTAATATTTTGACCTCTTCTCTTATTTTATATGATTCATATTGCGGAACAAAAGAAATTTATATTTTCTAATTTTTTTTTTGATTTAACATTAAAATCAAAATTAATCGAAATATAAATCATGATTTTTTTTTGTTTATTTTCTAATTTTTGAATATTTAACATCAAAATGAAAATTATTAAAATATGATTCACTGATATTTATTTAAAAAACTTTTTGCCATTATTAATTAATTATTAATAACATTGTTTTTCATAAACTAGGACATTAATTTGTATGTCATTGTCAGAAGTAAAATTGTGTTAATCTTAACACACTTTGTAAATTTTGTTTCTCTTTGTATCCATTCATAAAAAAATATGGATATTAGCATTTGTATAAGTCATTGTTAATCTTCAAATATTTATACAGTAGAGCAATATACGATAAAGAGAGTGAAAACTTATCTTTGTGTGTCAAATATTTTTTTTCATTCAAGGCCAAATATGTCTAATTCAATTGTTATAGATTTTTATTTTTTATTGTATTTTTTATTATTTTATTTATGAGTGCAATAAATTTTAGTACAGTTTATTATTCTAGAAAGTAAATTAGTTCGTATTGTAATTGTAAAAGTATTCTTTTGCTATATTTAAGATTACTTTTTGTTCTTTTGATAATATTATATCAGAGAATAGATAATTCCATAGCAGTGATTGTAATTTTCAGTTAAATATATATACATATATAGAAAGATTCAAGCGTTTTTTTAATCATTAGAGTTTATTTCAACTTAATAGTGAATTTCCAATTTTTAAAGGAACGAAATTTTAAATTTTGATTGAAAAAACATAAATATTATTTATGAATAATGTTATTAAAAAATGAAAGTTTATTATACAATTTGATTTCTAGACAATAAAATGTCAAAAAATGAAAATTCAAGTGTAAAATGTGAAAATTAAATAGTGCACGTTATAGTGAGCAAATACTGTTTTAAAAAATTCAAATTTTCAAAATGAATTATTTCTTTCTTCTACTTAACTCATTTGTTGCATTCTCTGCTCAAATGATTGTGGTAAGTTTTAATTTTCCCATCGTTAATTATTTTATAATTCCACAATAATAAAAATTCTTAATTTTAACTAAAAATTACAATATTATAAAACAATTTCTAAGAAATGTGATGAAAAATAATTTACTTTCAGAAAAATGAGAACGTGACTGACAAAATTTTAACAAAATTTAATAAAACTTCTAAAAAAGGTAATAATTAAAATTAAAAATAAATAATTAATTAATCTTTATTTAATTTTATTATTATTATTATTATTATTTATTAATAATTATTATATATATATTATATTTATAATAATTATAAAAAGAAAATTAAAAAAATAATTAACAATACTTTTCTTTATATTTTAGTATTTGAATATAAAATTATTCCACTGAATCACAAATTTAACAACAATACATTGGACAATTTGGAAATTCATGTGAAATTTAATACTAATGAAAATGCAAATATTCATTTAAATTTTGTTGAAGGATTATATTTTAACAGTAAGACAAAAATTTGGAGACTTACAAATGATTCAAGTAATAGTGATAAAATGCAATATGTTTTGGAAAAAAATGTACGTCTAGAATTTTAATAATTTTCTTTATAAAATTTTATTTCATAGAAAATATATTTATTGTTTGTATACAGATAATGAATCAAATAAATGTAAATTTTTACCATGACATAAAAACATTATCATCAATTATACGTATTAAAAATAAAAAAGGAAATGAAATATTTGTAAGTAAAAATAAAATTTAAAATAATAAATAAAAATCATAAAAAGTTAATATTTTTCATTTCTAATTTTTGTTTTTTTTTAGCAAGGTATTATCGATTCGGATAAGGTATTACAACCATTATCAAATATTTTTAAGGATCAAGAGGATTTTTTAACTTCTAAAAATGAACCAATTAATTTTACAAATCCTAATAGTCATATTATTTATAAATTAAATTTTTATAAATCTTTAGTAGGTGAGCCATATTAAAATCACTTTTTTCTGAATAATTTAATAATTAATTATACTTTCTGTTTAGATAAAAATATTACTAAAATTAAGAATGTGAAAAATAATTTTGTTAATGTAAAAAGTGAAAATTTGATGAATGGCATGAAAAAGTCAAAATTAGGTTTTCCAGATGTAGTTTATCCAGAGATTATGATTATTTTAGACAAGAAACTATTTTCGTGAGGATTATTATTTTTTTTATAAATCATTAAAGGAAAACAATAATTTTCTGAAATTATTAATTTTTATAATATTTTTCAGTTATTTTGAATATAATGTCGAAAAAGCAGTTTACTATGTATTATCTTACTGGAATGCAGTTGATTTACTTTTTAGAAAATTGGAAAAACCAAAAGTTCGATTAAATATTGGTGGAATTATTTTAGCTGAGGTATTTAATTTTAGAAAATATTTTTTATTGAAAAAAAATAATTCAATGTATGGAATATCAATTTTTTTTGCAAATATATTAATTTCCTTTTTTTTGTGTTTCAAGGAAAATTTACCATTTATAGATAAAAAATTCATTGAGGAAAATAGTTTACATGATTTTACACAGTTTTTATTTAAGCAGAAGGAAATTAAATTTAAAAAACATTATGACGCTGCAATGTTAATGACTGGATATACGATTAAAAATAATGACAATAATAAAATAAAAGGTGGATAAAGAAAATGATTTTTTGTTTAATAATTAAAATTAAAAATAAGTTTGATTAAACTAAATTTTGCTTTTAATTATTTATACTTTTTTTTTTATTTATTATACTTATTTTTTATTTGTTATACAAATTTTTTTTTTAATTTTTATTTATTATATTAATTTTTTTATTCTTAAATTTTCTTAATTATTGCAGGAAAATCATATGTTGGAACAGCATGTTGGGAAAGTATTTTAAGAAAAAGAATTATGGCTACAAGTGTTGTTACGCATAAAAAACTTTACAGTTCAATTATTTCAACAGTTCATGAATTAGCTCATTTGTATGTATATAATAAGTATTATGTTTCTTCTTAGTCTATTTTTCTGATGATGCCTAATTTTTTTCTTATATTATTTATTGTATTATTATTATTATTATTATTATTATTATTATTATTATTATTATTATTGTATGAAAATTATAGATTTGGAGCTACTCATGATGGACTTTCACCAGAATCATATATAGGTGGACCAGGTGGAAAAGACTGTTTTTTTGACGATGGTTTCATTATGAGCCACAAACGACATAATAAAAATCAATTTGAATTTTCCAAATGTAGCATAAAATCAATGTCATTTTTCTTTAGGTATCCGTTTCTTTTTTAATTAATTTCATTTTCTCTCTTTTTATTAAAAAAAAAAAATTTCTTTATAAAAAAATTCTCTTTTAATAAAAATTCTATATTTCTATTTTTACTCTATATAATTTTAATATGTAAATTAATTACATTAATTTATAGTCAAATATAATTTGTTTTCAGTCGAAAGAATGCAGAATGTCTTCGAAATAAACCAAATGGTCAAAATGAATGGTTTATTTTATAGGTTTTATATAAAAAAAAAAATGTTCAATGAATGAAAACACAAATTTGAAAACTATAAATATATTTTATTTAATTTTGTAAAAATAAATTTTATAATAAACGAAAAATTTTTGTAAACATAAACATTGATTTCATCACAAATACACACAATGATTTTTTTTTTTTATTTTTCTAATTTTTCTAAACCCTGATTAAAAATATTTCACACTTAAAATCACTTACAATAAAATTAAAATAATTTTACATTTCTATTCAACTACAACTTTTTCAAGCTTAGATTTTGATAAAAAGTTTTTGGTTCCTTTTCCTCATAATTTGTACTATATATATATATATAATATTGGTAACAGTTTTACACAGAAAATTAAAAGACATTAAAATAAGCTGCAACGCTTATTATTTTAATCCAATTTTGCTTATTTTAATCCATTTTGGTATTAAAATAAGCAAAATTGGATTAAAATAATAAGCGTTGCAGCTTATTTTAATGCCTTTTAATTTTCTGTGTAGGCAACTTGCACACAAATGTTGTTCAAACACACCTGAAAAAAAATTGCATATTTAAGATATATCAAAATAATTTTATTTAAAGTGACAAAAATATGGAAAAAAAATAACTTACCCCCTTATAACTGCATGGGAATTTATTTGGAGCAGCCATTGGGAAAATTGAAACCTGACAAGTTTTTTGTGGCGTAAAATAATCGAATATACTATAAATTGCCATCTTGCACTTCAAAAAACAATCATGAGCAGAAACCTAATAAAGAACATAAATGAATTACATAATTCTGTCAGTAAACGAGTAAAAAGAAATAATCTATTTAAATACTTACTTTTAAAGCACCTAAAAATCCATGGTTTTTACAATGTTGCTCAGCCCATTCGAATTGAGAATTCAAAAGTGAATTTTTGTTTTGATTTGGTATACATTGACCATTTTCACAATGCTAAAAATGTTGAATAATCATTAAGAAATTTTTTTTATTTTCTCTATATTGAAATTTTAATTATCGAAAAAGTATATGTTAAACAAAAAAAATTATATAGATAAATTAAAAATTTTCTTACGCTGTTCTCACTGCATGCAAATCCATTTTTAGCATACATTGTTTGTATTCTAAAACTCATAGGTTCAAAACATCCCCTAAAGATATTCAGATAGAAACTGTTAGACACCTTGCAATTTAAAATACATTGATTTTGAGATACCTTAAAAAAAGATAATACATTAATCATTTATTTCCTTCGATAACTGAATAAAAAAAGAAATTAGTAACAGAAAAATCTTATTTAAATACTAACATTAACAGCACCATAAGTACCAGCTTTTATGCATTCTTTATCAGCTAATTTAAACTCAGGACTCAATGGAATAACTTTTGGATTTTCTTCCACATTTTTCACACAACGTCCCATTTCACAATGCTAAAATTTTTCAAAAGTCTCTATTATGTTTGTATTAGTCTTAAAGATAAATATTTCTAGCTTAAAAAATTTTTTGTAAATATTTCAGTTATGAATAATATAAAAAAAAATAATCACAATTTTAATATAAATAGATCTCTTATAAATAGAAAATTTTCTTACTAAATTGACTTTTTACATACATTATCTGCTAATTTTAATCTATCAGAAATTTTATCATCTTTTTTCGGCTTAGGAGTTGTTACTTTACTCAAAGGAGTCGTAAATTTGTCAAAAGGTTTTGTTTCTTTAACAGCAGGAGTTATTTCTACTACTCTAGGAGTTGTTTCTACTACTGCAGGAGTTGTTACTTTAACAACAGGAGTTGTTTCTATTACTGCAGGAGTTGTTTCTACTACCGTAGGAGTTGTTTCTACTACTGCAGGAGTTGATACTTTAACAGCAGGAGTTGTTTCTACTACCGTAGGAGTTGTTTCTACTACTGCAGGAGTTGATACTTCAACAGCAGGAGTTGTTTCTACTACTGTAGGAGTTGTAACTTCAACAGCAGGAGTTATTTCTACTACTGTAGGAGTTGTTACTTCAACAGCAGGAGTTGTTTCTAATACTATAGGAGTTGTTACTTCAACAGCAGGAGTTGTTTCTAATACTATAGGAGTTGTTACTTCAACAGCAGGAGTTGTTTCTAATACTATAGGAGTCGTTACTTCAACAGCAGGAGTTGTTTCTACTACTGTAGGAGTTGTTACTTCAACAGCAGAAGTTGTTTCTAATACTATAGGAGTTGTTTCGACTACCGTAGGAGTTGTTTCTACAACTGCAGGAGTTGTTTCTACTACTGCAGAAGTTGTTACTTCAACAGCAGGAGTTGTTACTTCATCTTCTTTTAAGGGCAATTTTTCATACGGTTTAGCAAATAATAGTTCAGAACTCATACCGTATTTATTTTTGTTAAATGTTACTCCTAAACAATGTCCCATCATGCAGTACTGAAATTTAAATAAAAAATTGTATTAATATTTATTTCATAAGATATTGTAATTACTGTAAAGATATATTGTAATCTAAAAACATTTTACTTTTCCAACGTCGCACGGAGTTCCTGGAAGTGCCGTTACATTTATGTACTCTGCATTATTTTCCTTCGTAAGACATTTTATGTTTGTGCAAATTTCTGGAGTTACTTCAAATGCTTTCTTGTACCCTCCTTTTTCGCATTGTTGATCTAATGTCAAATATAAACTAGGTAAAATTCTTAATACTGGTTCTTCAATTTCATGAGGAAATCGATTATTTTTAAGGCAGTTGGAACGATTGGTACTGAAATAAAATTTTAATTATAAAATATAACAGTGAGTAGTGTCATAAAATAAATTAGTTTTTTAGCTTTTAAAAATTTGTAAATAAAAATAATAAACACCTAAAGAAATATTCAATTGCTTTTCTTGTACATTTGGAAAAGAAATGTGCATTATTTCCATGTCTTTGAGTACTCATAAGGTAACCGTCACTTGCAGAACAGTTTTTTGAACCTGGTCCTGACCAAATTTTAAGTTGTTCGCCGTCATTAGCAGCTCCGAATCTTTTCAATTAAAACAATTATATAAAATATTAATATTTGCAAAAAAAAAAAAAAAATTTTTGAATATTGAGACAGAAATAATTTAAATTTTTTCAAATCAATATCAATACAAAATTATTGGGGCTTTGCCCGTATATTTTAAATAAATAAATAAATAATTGAAAAAAATATATATATTATACATTTATTCATGTAGTAATATTTTGATTTTGTTTCATTTATGAGCGAATACTTACAAATGAGCTAATTCATGTGCAGCAGTAGCAATTCCAGAAAGTTTAAAATCATCGAGAATTATTGCAACAGAAGCTAACATAGTTGGAAGTTTATGACAAGCTCCAGCCACAATTGATTTGGCTTAAAAATATTTTATTTCGTTAATAATTATTATATGTAAAATGGTAATATAAAAAAAGAAGATGGTTATAGTATATAATATTATTTGATAAAAAATAGAAGTCATATACCTTGTTCACTCGTTTGTAAGTTTGTACTTCCAGCTAACCAAACAGCAATATCGTAATCTTTTTCAAAAATAAACTTCTCATGTGAAAACATATGTTTACTGAATTTATTATGTACATCTCTATTGATTTGAAATTTTTCATTAGGTAAAAGTTGATCCTAAAATTATTAAAAAAATATATATATATTTTTTTTGTAATTCTAACATTATTAAAATTTAATAAATAAGATAAATGAATAATTAGAAATTTTAAAGTAAAATATATGACTGTTGTTGTTTTGATTAAAATATTTTCACTAAAACATTAGACTAGTAAATAATTGTTTTAAAGATAAAATACCTTTAACACAACAATTCCAGCAATATTGAGGCGAATTATGGGAGATAGTACATGTCTAAATTTGAAATCCACTCCACTCCAAAAAACTAATGTATAGGCCACAGTTTTCACAATATCGTAGTTGAAGTGCCTGAAGAACAAGCAATTTATTGTTGCTGTTTTTTTTAAACAATAAATAATTTAATATATTAAATTGAAATTATTAAAAAAAACATACTCAAATATTGTTTTATCAACATAGACCAAAATTTCTGGATATACTGTGTTTTCTTTAATTTCAGGTTCGTTCTTTTTTTGAATAGGTTTTTCATCATTTTCTTCATTATCATAAAAAGAAGAAGAATCAAAATTGTAGTCCTTAAAAAAAATATTTCTTTACTATTAATAAGAAAATTATAATTGGGGCATTTTTTGTGAAAAAGACACCCCCTCGGACCAGATTAGATTTAATTTAAAAAAATCTCTATATGAGCTTAAATTACAGCAAATAGTGGACATAGGGGACCACAAATGTTAAAAAACAAGTTGTAAATTCAGATGTTTATTACATGAACATTTTGCTTCCTCTTTACGATCAGCAAAAAAATTTGCTTCCTCGTGGAGAAAGCAAAATTTTATTGACAAAATGTGAATTTTTGATTTTTTAACTTTCATTAATTCTTTAAATTTACCTCAAATATATATATATACTTTATATATATCGATCGATTCGTCTTGACGTAAGGAATACGATTTTATTATATATAACCTTAAATTTTTCTATTTAAAAATTTTTTGGAAAAAAGACGATAAAAAATTTTTTTTGGGGTATTTTTCAAAATCCTTTGGTCAGATTTGAGATAATAATATGATAAATGACCCTACCAAACTTTATCTAAATCCATTGAAACCTGTTAAAGTTATCTTCTAAACAAAAAAGGGATCCACACACACACACACACACATCTAGACAATTGATCAGGATCTCATATAACATGTTTCTATAAAGAAAAAAATTTGTTTCCGGCACTTTGAAAAGTTTTATAAACGAAAGGACTACAAAGCTTTCTCCACGAGAAAGCAAAAAACCTTCAATATTATCCAAAAAAGTAATATTTTTTTAAATACAAGGTTAAAACTTATTTTTTTGATGATATAAAAAATTATCGACATAGAAATCTACATTACCAACTGATAGTAAAACAAGAAAAATGAAAATATTAAGATCGGTAATGTAGATTTCTATTTCGGCAATTTTTTATATCATTAAAAAAATAAGTTTTAATCTTGTATTTAAAAAAAATATAAATTTTTTCGATAATATTGATATTATTATTAACATATAGGTTTAAAAATGTATATTAATTTACTTACATCATCTTCAGATATTTTAGATATTTTAGTTGTTTGAGGTTTTTTATCAATATCTGCATTTTCTTCAAAATCAGAAGGATCAAAATTTTCCTGAAATAAATATTTCCTTACTATTAATAAGAATCATATAAAAATTTATAATCATTAAGCCAGTAATTTTTAAACATTATATATAAATAAAATATCCAATGTGATGATGCATTTTATAATTATAAAAATTTAAGACTCCATGATACATTCTAGTACTCACATAATCTTCTGAATTAGTATCATCATTCAATTTCTCTTCATAGAAGGTTTTATTTGCTTTTTTGATAATCTGCGTAGAACATTAAATAATGAATATAAAAAACAAAAAAAATTTGTGCAAAATTTTAATTAATTAATATAAGTTAAAAAATAATAAATAAGTTTAAAACTATTTATCATTTAACTTACATCATCTTGTAGAGTGTATGTAAATTTATCCCCTACTCTTTCAGCTAACCAGACTTTTGTATTTTTATCAGCAAAATATTCTGAGGACTGCAAAGGTACGGTTCTATCTTTGTTCCTAATATTGACAGTTACTGTCATTTCACTAGATACTGAAAAATTAAAAATATTAATTATTTCAAATGTTACATACGGAAACAGTAAAAACTATAAAAAATTTTCTTAAAATCTTAAATAATATAAAAAAATAATGATATAAAATAAAAAAAAATTAAACTCGGATTTAGATAGGATAAAAATATATTATTTACAATTATCCTAATTTTCTTTTTTATCATAAAATAGTTTCTGTCAGGGTAGTTTATTAATTAATTATTTTAAGATATAATTTTCGATGAAATATGTAATATTTACCTTCTGTATTTCCAAACGTGTATGAAAATGGCGCAATTAATGCGTAAAGTAAAATACAGATATAAATCATTTTTTAAATCAAAATGATTTTGCCTGTAGGTAACAAAGTTAATTCCTATGTAACTACTATTCCTGAAAAAAAATTTCAGTCAAAATAACTCATAATTTTCTATGCCAAAAAAAAATTAATTTTCGGATATTAACAATTGCATAAAAATATAAAAAAAATTTTAATCTTTATAATCTTACCAAAATGTAGAAAGAAATTTTCTTAATAGAAAAACTTAGGTTTAAGTACTGATATACTTAAAATTTTTGAATTTATACCATTTATGTCTACAATAATTTTTTGTAATGTTAATTTTTTATTATTTATTTTAAATGAAAAATTAGCTTTTGCGTCATATTAGATAAATAATTTTCAATAAATTCCATAGATGTTTACTTTTCCATGTTTATCTTATAAAAAAAATGAACATTATTTTACTAGTTTAAAACTCCGCATTTAAATATTTTACAGGCCTGTGACGTCAAATTAAAATAAAAATGTTTTATAATTTCAATCATACTTACTTTTTCTTGTTGATTTATAATTACCCAAATAGCACGTAATATTACAATAATATAAAATAGAAGATAAAAATAAAAGAATAATATAAAAGAGTAAAATAATAAAATAATAATATTATAATGTTTTATTGCAATAATTTGTAATATCACGTGATATTTGGTAAAGAAAAAGAAACATTTTTTTTTCATGGCTAAAATAAATTTAAAAAATAGTAACATTGGACGCCATTTTAAATGAATTAAGTGTATGAATTTTAATGATGTTTATTTTTCTTTAAGAGCATTTGAACCTTCGTGACGTCACAAATCATGGCGCATGACAAGCAAACTTCTCAGGTATGTGAAAAGCACAATTTTGAATATTTTTTAAAAAAACCTTTTGGAAAATGTTCAGAATAACATAGACTCTGTCTGTTATGTGCGGAAAATTCAAAATTTTGCGTTTAAAACGTTTTTTAAACAATGTTAAGGTCACAAATCATGGCGCATGACACGCAAACTTCTCAGCTATGTGAAAAACACAATTTTGAATATTTTTTAAAAAAACCTTTTGGAAAATATTCAGAATAACACAGACTCTGTCTGTTATGTGCGAAAAATTCAAAATTTTGCGTTTAAAACGTTTTTTAAACAATGCCTACATATAAGCAATTCGTGTATTTTTCCTTACTTGTGACAACCAACTTAAACATTGTTTAAAAAACGTTTTAAACGCAAAATTTTGAATTTTTCGCACATAACAGACATAGTCTATGTTTCTCTGAACATTTTCCAAAAGGTTTTTTTAAAAAATATTCAAAATTGTGTTTTTCACATACCTGAGAAGTTTGCGTGTCATGCGCCATGATTTGTGACGTCACGAAGGTTCAAATGCTCTTAAATTGATCTTGATAAATTTTAATTTTTTTGACGTGGCAAAATGTCTTTCGAAAAATTTTCTGTATTACAGAATTTTTATTTAATTTATTATAATTATAATTTATAATTTTATATTAATATATAATTGTAAATTATTATTTTATTCCTCGTTTTATTCTTGATATTTTATATTTATTTATATTTATCATATATTTATATTATAATTTAGATTTTAAAAAAATATTAAATAATATTGATTTTTTAACAGATTAAAAAAAAAATTTCGGGTTTAAAGACGTTTGGGAAGAAGGTCTTCGGGAATATGGTCTTTCGTGAAATTTGTCTTTCGGAAAATTGCTTTTCGGATTTTTGGATTCAGGACTTTGATCCGATACCATAATAAAATATTATATTTGTTATTAGAATAATTTTTTGATTATGCATAATTTTTTTTCTTGTAATAATAATAATAATAATAATAATAATAATAATAATAATAATAATAATAATAATAATAATTATTATTATTATTATTATTATTATTATTATTATTATTATTATTATTATTATTATTATTGTATAAAAATTATAGATTTAGAGTTATTCATACGATGGACTTTCATCACAATCATATATAGGTGGACCAGGTGGAAAAGTCTGTTTTTTTGACGACAGTTTTATTATGAGCCACAAATGACATAATAAAAATGATTTTAAATTTTCCAAATGTAGCATAAAATTAATATCATTTTTCTTCCAACTTTTTAATTAATTATTTTCATTTTTAGTCTTTTTCTGAATCCTTTGAGGACCAGTGTTGCTTTCAGAAAACATGAACATTTTATTATATTATCTTCTGCATAAGTTCTTTGATTTTTAAAACTTAATTTTGAAACAATATTTTTCATTTAGTCTAGTAAATTTTCTATTCCAAACTTTTGGTTTTAAGACCAGACCTGAATTAGTACCACTAAAAATATTGTTTAAAAATAAAAAAAAAATTGTGATTTTTAGTAAAAAAATTTTGTCTCCAAAGGTTAGAATAAAATTTTACTAAAAATTCTATATTTCTATTTTATATTCTATATAATTTTAATATGTAAATTAATTACATCAATTTATAGTAAAATATGATTTCAGTCGAAAGAATGCAGAATGTCTTCGAAATAAACGAAATGTTCAAAATAAATAGTTTACTAGGTTTTATATAAAAAGAAATGTACAATAAATAAAAACACATATTTGAAGATTATAAATATTTTATTTAATTTTGTAAAAATAAATTTTATAATAAACGAAAAATTTTGCAAACATAAACATTAATTTCGTCCCAATTATAATATGATTTTTTTTTTATTTTTCAAATTTTTTCTATACTCTGGTCAAAAATATTTCTCCCTTAAAAACACTTACTATAAAATTAAAACAATTTTACATTTTTATTTAAGTACAACTATTTCAAGCTTAGATTGATAAAAAATTTGTGGTTACATTTCCTCATAATTGGTACTATTGGTAACAGTTTTAGTCAATTTTTACACAAATGCTGTTCAAACACACCTAAAAAAAAGTGTATATTAATATATCTAAATAATTTTATTTAAAGTGACAAAAATATAGAAAAAATAACTTACCCCCTTATAACTGCATGGGAATTTATTTGGAGCAGCCATTGGGAAAATTGAAACCTGACAAGTTTTTTGTGGCGAAAAGTAATCGGATAAACTATAAATAGGCATCATGCACTTCAAAATACAATCATGAGCAGAAACCTAATAAAGAACATACATAAATTACATAATTCTATCAATAAATGAATACAAATAAATAACTTATTTAAATACTTACTTTTAAAGCACCTAAAAATCCACTGTTTTTACAATGTTGCTCAGCCCATTCAAATTGTTGATTCAAAAGCGAAGTTGTGTTTTGATTTGGTATACATTGGCCATTTTCACAATGCTAAAAATGTTGAATAATCAGTAAGAAATTTTTTTATTTTTTTCTATATTGAAATTTTAATTATCGAATAAGTATATGTTAAACAAAATAAAATTATGTAGATAAATTAAAAATTTTCTTACGCTTTTTTCACCGCATGCTAATCCATTTTGAGCATTCACTGTTTGAGGTGTAAAACTCTCAGGTATCTGTTGTCCCATAACTAGATTCTTATAGAAACTCTTAGCCACTTTGCAATTTAATATACATTGATTTTGAGATACCTTAAAAAAAGATAATAGATTAATCATTTATTTCCTTCGATAACTGAATAAAAAAAGAAATTAGTAACAGAAAAATCTTATTTAAATACTAACATTAACAGCACCATAAGTACCAGCTTTTTTACATTCTTCATCAGCTAATTTGAAATCAGGACTCAAAGGAATAACTTTTGGTTTTTCTTGCACAATTTTCACACAACGTCCCTTTTCACAATGCTACAATTTTTCAAACGTCTCTATTATTTTTGGATTAGTCTTAAAGATAAATATTTCTAGCTTAAAAAAAAATTTTTGTTCAACTATGTAATGATTTCAGTTATGAATAACATAAAAAAGAATAATTGCAATTTTAATATAAATTAATTTCTTATAAATAGAAATTTTTCTTACTGAATTAACAGAGCATTTTGTTCCAGTTGGAGCATTTATTATTTGGACCTTTAAAGTATCTACAAATGCACTATGGCGCACATTGCAATGGAAAACACATTCATTTGTATAGTTCTAAAAAAGAAAATACATAAATTATATAATACTTTCAATTACTGAATATATATAAACATGAGAAGAAGAAATAAATTATTCTAATACTAACTCTTGCAACACCCATAGTTCCCAACTTTTTACATGTAGCATCTGCTAATTTTAAACTATCAGAAATTTCATCATCTTCTTTTCCTATTTTCGGAGTGGGAGTTGTTACTTTAACAACAGGTGTTGTTACTTCAGCAACAGGAGTAGTAACTTCTACAACAGGAATCGCAACTTCAACAACAGGAATAATCATTATTAATAATAGTAATGCTGTCAGGAATTGTTAGACAATTTTAAGAAGCATAACTAAATCATCCGAGGAGGATGTAGAATCAGTAGAATTTTGAATGTTATCGGGATTAGTAACATAAATTGCATATAGATATATTATTTACAATTATCCAAATTTTTTTTTATCATAAAATCGTTTCTGTCAGGGTAGTTTATTAATTAATTATTTTAAGATATAATTTTCGATGAAATATGAATTTACCTTCTGGATTTCCAAAAGTGTATGAAAATGGCGCAATTAATGCGTAAAGTAAAATACAGATATAAAGCATTTTTTAAATCAAAATGATTTTGCCTGTAGGTAACAAAGTTAATTCCTGAAAAAAAAATTTCAGTCAAAATAACTCATAATTTTCTATGCCAAAAAAGAGATTAATTATTATCGAATATTAACAATTGCATAAAAATATAAAAAAAAATTTAAATCTTTATAATCTTACCAAAATGTAGAAAGAAATTTTCTTAATAGAAAAACTTTGGTTTGAGTACTGATATACATACTTAAAATTTTTGAATTTATACCATTTATGTCTACAATAATTTTTTGTAATGTTAATTTTTTATTATTTATTTTAAATGAACAACTAGCTTTTCCGCCATTTTAGATAAATAATTTCCATAAATAAATTCCATAGATGTTTACTTTTCCTTGTTTATCTTATAAAATAAAATGAACATTATTTTACTAGTTTAATACTTCATTTAAATATTTTATAGACCTTTGAAGTCAAATTAAAATAAAGAAGATTAATAATTTCAATCATGTTTACTTATCCTGTTGATTTAATTACCCAAGTAGTACATAATATTACAATAATCATAATAAATGATGATGATGATGATAATAATAATAATAAAATAATAAAATAATATGATGTCTTATTGCAATATTCTGTAATATCACGTTATATTTGGGTAAAGAAAAAAAAACCTTTTTTTTCATATTTAAAAATAGTAACATTGGATCCCAGCCTAAATAAATTACGTCCATGAATTTTAATGATGTTTATTTTTCTTTATTGATCTTGATTAATTTTAATTTTTTTGACGTGGCAAAATGTCTTTCGAAAAATTTTCTGTATTACAGAATTTTTATTTAATTTATTATAATTATAATTTATGATTTTATACTAATAATTATTAATTCTTTAACGTCCGAGTAGAATATATTTGAAAAATATAATAAATTATATTAATATATAGGGACAGTTGGGGTAAATGGGGACAGATTGTTATTATTAACCAAATTGATAAAAATCAAAAATTCAAGTGACTTTCTATTGTGGGAATCATAAAAAATAGGAAAAAAATTTGGTATGATTTTTAAGTCTGTTTTTTTTTCAAATGCGAAACAAAATACTGAAATAAAAAAAAAATAAAAAAATTTCAATTGGTTCAATTATTATATATCTACTACAAATTTTTTTCAAGTTTTTTCATCCCTTAATACAGTAATACACTTAAGGAAAATATTTTCTTAAAACTTTCTTAGAAACTATTAATGCTGTCCCCATTTACCCCGAATTGTATGAAATTTTCTAAATTTTGGGGTAAATGGGGACATAAGTCAGTTTTATGTGTCTAAAGCTTCTAAATTTTTTTCTACTTCACAAAATTAATCCTGGGGATGTAAATAACAACTTAAAAAGAAATAAACCTGCAAATATTACCTTTTAAAGGTGAAAAATAGCGATTTTGTCCCCATTTACCCCAACTGACCCTAATTGTAAATTATTATTTTATTCTTGATATCTCATATTTATATCATATTATATTTATATTTTTTATATTTATTTATATGTATCATATAGGTGGAAAAGTTTGTTTTTTTCGATAGTTTCATTATGAGCCACAAACGACATAATAAAAATGATTTTAAATTTTCCAAATGTAGCATAAAATTAATATCATTTTTCTTCCAACTTTTTAATGAATTATTTTCATTTTTAGTCTTTTTCTGAATCTTTTGAGGACCAGTGTTGCTTTCAGACAACATGAACATTTTATTATTTTATCTCATGCATAAGTTCTTTGATTTTTAAAACTTAATTTTGAACCAATATTTTTCATTTAGTCTAGTAAATTTTCTATTCCAAACTTTTGGTTTTAAGACCAGACCTGAATTACTACCGCTAAAAATATTGTTTAAAAAAAAATCGTGATATTTTTAGAAAAAAAATTTGGTCTCCAAAGGTTAAAATAAAATTTTACTAAAATTTATATTTTTTATTCTAAATAATTTTAATATGTAAATTAATTACATCAATATATAGTAAAATATGATTTGTTTTCAGTCGAAAGAATGCAGAATGTTTTGAAAATAAACCAAATGGTAAAAATTGAATGGTTTATTGTATAGGTTTTATATAAAAAAAAAATGTTCAATAAATGAAAACACATATTTGAAGATTATAAAGATTTTATTTAATTTTGTATAAATAAATTTTATAGTACACAAAAAATTTTGTAAACATAAACATTGATTTCATCATAAATACACACATGATTTTTTTTTTATTTCTCTAATTTTTTCTATACTCTGGTCAAAAATATTTCACACTTAAAAACAATTACAATAAAATAAGAATAATTTTACATTTCTATTTAACTTTATTGAAAAATTACAACTTTTTCAAGCTAAGATTGATTAAAAGTTTTTGGTTACTTTTCCTCATAATTGGTACAATATAATTGTTAACTATTCTAGGCAACTTGCACACAAATGTTGTTCAAACACACCTAAAAAAAAGTACATATTTAAAATATATCTAAATAATTTGATTTAAAGTGACAAAAAAATGGAAAAAATAACTTACCCCCTTATAACTGCATGGGAATTTATTTGGAGCAGCCATTGGGTAAATTGAAACCTGACAAGTTTTTTGTGGCGAAAAGTAATCGGATAAACTATAAACAGGCATCTTGCACTTCAAAATACAATCATGAGCAGAAACCTAATAAAGAACATACATAAATAATTCTGTCAATAAATGAATACAAATAAATAACTTATTTAAATACTTACTTTTAAAGCACCTAAAAATCCACTGTTTTTACAATGTTGCTCAGCCCATTCGAATTGATGATTTAAAAGTGAATTTGTGTTATGATTTAATACACATTGACCATTTTCACAATGCTAAAAATGTTGAATAATCAGTAAGAAATTTTTTTATTTTTTTCTATATTGAAATTTTAATTATCGAATAAGTATATGTTAAACAAAATAAAATTATGTAGATAAATTAAAAATTTTCTTACGCTTTTTTCACCGCATGCTAATCCATTTTGAGCATTCACTGTTTGAGGTGTAAAACTCTCAGGTATCTGTTGTCCCATAACTAGATTCTTATAGAAACTCTTAGCCACTTTGCAATTTAATATACATTGATTTTGAGAGACCTAAAAACAGATAATACATTAATCATTTAATTCTTTTGATAATTGAATTAAAAAAAGAAATTAGTAACAGAAAAATCTTATTCAAATACTAACATTAAAAGCACCATAAGTACCAGCTTTTTTACATTCTTCATCAGCTAATTTAAAATCAGGACTCACAGGAACAACTTTTGGTTTTTCTTCCACATTTTTCACACAACGTCCCTTTTCACAATGCTAAAAATTTTCAAAAGTCTCTATTATTTTCGTATTAGACTTAAAGATAAATATTTTTAGCTTAAAAATTTTTTTTGTGCGACTATGTAAAGATTTCAGTTATGAATAATATATATATATATATAAAAAATCACAATTTTCATATAAATTCATTTCTTATAAATAGAAAATTTTCTTACAGAATTAACAGAGCATTTTGTTCCAGTTGGAGCATTTATTGTTTGAATCGTTAAGGTATCTTCAAATCCACTATGACGCACATGGCAATGGAAAACACATTCATTTGTATAGTTCTAAAAAAGAAAATACATTAATTATACAATACTTTCGATTACTGAATATAAATTAACATGAGAAGAAGATATAGATTATTCAAATACTAACTCTTGCAACACCCATAGTTCCCAATTTTTTACATGTAGCATCTGCTAATTTTAAACTATCAGAAATTTCATCATCTTCTTTTCCTATTTTCGGATTGGGAGTTGTTACTTTAACAACAGGTGTTGTAACTTCTACAAAAGGTGTTGTAACTTCTACAACAGGTGTTGTAACTTCTACAACAGGTGTTGTTACTTCAACAACAGGAGTAGTAACTTCAAAAACAGGTGTTGTTACTTCAACAACAGGTGTAGTAACTTCAACAACAGGTGTTGTTACTTCAACAACAGGAGTAGTAACTTCAACAACAGGTGTTGTTACTTCAACAACAGGAGTAGTAACTTCAACAACAGGTGTTGTTACTTCAACAACAGGAGTAGTAACTTCAACAACAGGAGTAGTAACTTCAACAACAGGTGTTGTTACTTCAACAACAGGTGTTGTTACTTCAACAACAGGAGTAGTAACTTCAATAACAGGTGTTGTTACTTCAACAACAGGAGTAGTAACTTCAACAACAGGTGTTGTTACTTCAACAACAGGAGTAGTAACTTCAACTACAGGTGTTGTTACTTCGACAACAGGAGTAGTAACTTCAACAACAGGTGTTGTTACTTCAACAACAGGAGTAGTAACTTCAACAGCAGGTGTTGTTACTTCAACAGCATGTGTTGTTACTTCAACAACAGGAGTAGTAACTTCAACAACAGGTGTTGTTACTTCAACAACAGGAGTAGTAACTTCAACAACAGGTGTTGTTACTTCAACAACAGGAGTAGTAACTTCAACAGCATGTGTTGTTACTTCAACAACAGGAGTAGTAACTTCAACAACAGGTGTTGTTACTTCAACAACAGGAGTTGTTACTTCAACCTCTTCTAAAGGCAATTTATATGGTTCAGGAAATAATATTGCAGAACTAACACCGCCTTTATTTTTGTTAAATTTTACGTCTAAACACTGTCCCATCATGCAGTACTGAAATATAAATAAAAAATTTTTATTATTATTTGTTTCATGTGATATTTTAATTATTTTAAAGATTAATTGATATTTATAAACATCATACTTTTCCAACGTCGCACGGAGTTCCTGTAAGTGCTGTTACATTTATGTACTCTGCATTATTTTCCTTCGTAAGACATTTTAGGTTTGTGCAAATTTCTGAAGTTACATTAAATGCTTTTTGGTACCCTTCTCTTTCGCATTGTTGATCTAATGTTAAATATTTTCCTGGTAAAATTCTTAATACTTGTTCTTCAGTTTTCTTAGTTAATGTATTACTTTTGAAGCATTTGGAACGTTTATGGCTGAAATAAAATTTTAATTATAAATATAACATAAAGTATATAGTGTCATAAAATAAATTAATTTTTTAGCGTTTAAAAATTTTTAATTAAAAATAATAAACACCTGAAGTAGTATTTAATTGCATTTTTTGTACAACTTGAAAAGAATTGTACGTTTTTTCCATATATTTGATTGCTCATAATGTAACCATCACTTGTAGGACAGTCTTTTGAATGTGGTCCTGGCCAGTTTTTAAGTTTTTGTCCATCATTAGCAGATCCGAATCTTTTCAATTTAAACAATAATACAAAATATTAATATTTACAAAAAAAAAAAACTTTCGAATATTAAGACAGAAATAATTTAAATTTTTCAAATCAATATCAATATATAATTAAATTATATATTATACATTTATTCATGCCGTAATATTTTGATTTTATTTCATTTATGTTTGAATACTTACAAGTGAGCTAATTCATGTGCAGCAGCAGCAATTCCAGAAAGCTTAAAATCATCCTGAATAATTGCAGAAGACCATAATATTTTTTTGTTTTTACCAATGACACAACCTGTAGCCACCGATGATCTGCCTAGAAAATTTTTTAATTCGTTAGTAACATATTGTACATAAAATAATAATGTAAAAGAAAAGAAGATATTATATTTTTTTTAAAAAAAAGACATACCTTGTTCACCCTTTGGTAATTTCGTACTTCCAGCTAACCAAACAGCAATATTGTAATGTTGTTTTTCAAATTCAAACTGCCCATGTCTAAACATATGTTTACCAAATTCTTCATATACTTCATTACTGAGTTTAAATTGTTTATTAGGTAGAAGTTGATCCTAAAATAATTAAAAAAAATTTTTTTTTGTTATTCTAACATTATTAAAATTCAATAAATAAAAATAAATGAATAATTTGAAATTTTATTGTAAAATATATGACTGTTTTTGTTTCGATTAAAATATTTTCAATAAAACATTAGACTAATAAATAATTGTTTTAAAGATAAAATACCTTTGACACAACAATTCCAGCAATTTTAAGGCGAATTAATGGAGTTGGTATTTGTCTAAATTTAAAATCCACTCCATTCCAAAGAACTAATGTATAGGCCACAGTTTTCACAATATCGTAGTTGAAGTGCCTGAAGAACAAGCAATTTATTGTTGCTGTTTTTTTTAAACAATAAATAATTTAATATATTTAATTGAAATTATTAAAAAAAAACTTACTCAAATATTGTTTTATCAACATAGACCAAAATTTCTGGATATACCGTATTTTCTTTAATTTCAGGTTCTTTCTTTTTTTGAATAGGTTTTTCATTACTTTTTGCATTTTCTTCAAAATCAGAAGGATCAAAATTTTCCTGAAATAAATATTTCCTTACTATTAATAAGAATCATATAAAAATTTATAATCATTAAGCCAGTAATTTTAAAACATTATATATAAATAAAATATCCAATGTGATGATGCATTTTATAATTATAAAAATTTAAGACTCCATGATACATTCTAGTACTCACATAATCTTCTGAATTAGTATCATCATTCAATTTCTCTTCATAGAAGGTTTCATTTGCTTTTTTGATAATCTGCGTAGAACATTAAATAATGAATATAAAAAACAAAAAAATTTGTGCAAAATTTTAATTAATTAATATAAGTTAAAAAATAATAAATAAGTTTAAAACTATTTATTATTTTACTTACATCATCTTGTAGAGTGTATTTAAACTTATTCCCTACTTTTTCAGCTAACCAGACTTTTGTATTTATAGAGGCAAAATAATCTGAAGACTGCAGAGTATCGATTTTATCATTGCCCCCAATATTTATTGTCAGATCACTAGATACTGAAAAATTAAAAATATTAATTATTTCAAATATTACATACGGAAACAGTAAAAACTATAAAGAATTTTTTTAAAATCTTAACTAATATAAAAAAATAATTATATAAAATTTTAAAAAAATAAATAAAACTCGGATTTAGATAGGATAAAGATATATTATTTACAATTATCCTAATTTTTTTATCATACAATCGTTTCTGTCAGGGTAGTATATTAATTAATTATTTTAAGATATATTTTTCGATGAAATATGTATTTACCTTCTGCACTTCCAAAAGTGTATGAAAATGGCGCAATTAATGCGTAAAGTAAAATACAGATGTAAATCATTGTTTAAATCAAAATGATTTTGCCTGCAGGTAAATTAATTCGTTTGCAACTACTATTCCTGTAAAAAAAATTTTTTTTTAGTAAAAAAAATTCACAATTTTCTAATTCAAAAAAAGATTATTTATCTGATATTAACAATTGCATAAAAATATTTTAAAAAATTTACTCTTTATAATCTTACCAGAAGGTAAAAAGAAATTTTCTTGATTAAAAAATTTTGGTTTGAATACTGATACGTTTAAAAATTTTCAATTTATACCATTTTTGTCTATTATAATTTTTTGTAATGTAAAGTTTTTATTATTTATTTTAAATAAAAAACTAGCTTTTGCGTCAAATTAGATAAATAATTGCTATTAATTCCACAGATGTTTACATTTCCTTATTGAACTTAGAAAATAAAACTAAAATTATTTAACTAGTTTAAAACTTCATTTAAATATTTTATAGGCATTTGACGTCAAATTAAAATAAAAAAGTTTTATAATTTCAATCATATTTACTTTTTTTTGTTGATTTAATTACCCAAGACGAAGCATTTTTTTCATGGCTAAACTAAATTAAAATGCATAAATAAAAACATTTGACGCCATCTGAAATGATTTACGTCTATGAATATAAATAATTTTTATTTTTCTCTGTTGATATTGGGAAATTTTAATTTTTTTGACGTAGCGAAATGGCTTCCGAAAAATTTTCCATAATTCCTGAATTTTTATTTAATTTATTATAATTAAAATTTGTGAATTTTATTTGTTTTAATTTTTGGAAAGTTTTTTTTTAAATAAGCTTCCGGACGGTTTTTTTCTTCCCAACAATTTTACAATTTTCCTTAGAAAAAATTTTTGCTTGAACCAAATATAGTATTTTTTTGCATTAAAATGTGATTTTTTTTATTTAAAAACAAAATTTTTTTGATTCAAATAAATATTTATTGTTTTATCTAAATTAGCATTTGGTTTATTTTAAAAAAATTTTCTAAATGACGAAAGAATTTGATTGAAGCAAATAAATTATTGATTACTTCAACTAAGAGTTTAGTTAACTTTGGTTAAAATAGTTTTTCTAACTGTTTTTTTTCCCAACAATAACTTTTTCCCAATAACTTATTATTTTCCTAAAATCTTTTCTCAAATATGTAATATTTTTGTAACGGAATTATTGACGTTTAAAAACATGAAAATTATTAAATCCAAGTAATTAAAATATTATTTATAAACCTTTTTAATTAAAAATTATGCATTATTGTACAAACTTTTTTAATTATTATCTATCAAATAGTAATTCTTTTATTATATTTTTTTTTATATTTTACTATGTTATTTTTCTAGAATTTTTTGAACCACACTGAAAAAAAATTCTGGTTAGGCTATATTTAACATTACTTTCTAGTTATGTTAACCAGAATTCTAGTTGAATTAACTAGAATTTTTGTTAAAATAACCAGAATTCTGGTTAATCTAACCAGAATCAAAATGTTAAACTTACCCTAACCAGAATTCTGGTTATTCTAACTAGAATTCTGGTTATTCTAACTAAATTTTTTTTCAGTGCACGGTTGCTATAGTAACTGTAACCATGGCAACAACACGAGTGTACGACGGACTGACACCAAAGCGAAACCTTAAGACTTTTAAAGCTCTAAAAAGATTAAAAAAACTAATAAATGCTAGTACTAAAAAAAAATCGGATATGTAACTACAAAATAGTGTCTGATTTGGCATGGAATACCTCATAAATGATAAAGGATCTAGGAAAGACAATTTATAAATTAGATTATAAATTAAAAACAATTTTTAATATTAACAACTTTCTTTATTAATTAAAAATAAATAATCCTAATTTATTATCAATATAATTATTAAATATTTTTATAAATAATTGTAATATTTTTCTTTAAAATGCAAATGGTTACCATTGCAGTGCTAACCATGTCAGTACATTCGTTGTGACATATTTATAGGTAAAATAAATAAAAGTAGTTAACAATATATTTTGAAACTAGTAAAGATCCTATATTGATTTAGTATAGTGAACACAAGTGTTTTAATAAATTAACCTTCTTCGTAGCTAAAAAAAATAACCTTGACTATTTAATTATATTGAAATATATTATTAATTAAAAATTGGTTTAATTTTACAAACTTTTTTTTTTAATAAATAAAATAATACATATTTGCATATAAGTATAATAATATTACAATGAGAAATTACGCAAATATAAATTTCTAAATATAATTTTTAAAATAGTTTTTTTTTCTTAAATTTCTATATATTAATTTTTTCCCTTAGATTGATTTTGATGGATACAAGTATTATTATAACAAATCTGAAAAAAATGTTATATTTTAGATATTTCAATATAATAATTAATTTAAAACGAGAAGAAAATTAAAAGGAAAACTTACTCCATTATTACCGCATGGAAAACCATTTGGCGCATTATAATTCAAATACATATGACTATATAACTCTTTGGGCATAAAATCGTATTTAACCATCTTCGTTGTCTTGCAATGTAAAACACAATCAGTCGTCGAGATCTAAAAAAGAAAATGCATTAATTACATAATATCTGAATACATAAAAACATACATATAAAAGATTTAAATTATTCAAATATACACACTTTAGAAGCACTAGTAGCTCCAATTTCTATACATGCTAGATTATCCAACATCAATTTTCCTTCCTCAGTTAACAATGGTTTTTTATTTAGATCCACCGGACTTTCTCGATCATCATTGACACACAGACCGTCTTGGCAATACTAAAATTAATTAATAAATATAATATTTTTAAATAATACTATGTTACGGAAATAGGAGTTTAGATAAATTAAGAATTGTCTTACCATTCCTTTAGTGCATGGAAAACCATTTGGAGCATTCATTGTAAGATTTGTTGTCAAATTATTTGGTAACTTATAGCAACTCATATCACATAAGGTTGGATAAATCTAAAGACGTAAATAAGTTAATTAACATCAATAATCTTCAAAAATAGAAGAAATTTTAAAGCATTAATTAGTTTAATACTGACTTTTAAAGCACCTGAAGCACCAGCTTTCTGACAATCTTCATGAGCTAGTTTATCAAATGAATATAGTTTTGGATTATCAGGCATAATGTTTCTATCATCAATGTCGGTTGTACTTTGAACTGGTACTTCAACAACAGGTGTTGTTACTTCAACAACAGGAGTAGTTATTTCAACTATAGGAGTCGTAACTTCAACAAAAGGAGTAGTAATGTTTTCAGCAGATTCAACATTATTGATAATTGTAATGCTATCGGGAGTTGTTTTACCATCTAAAGGAGCAACTAAACCATCCGAGGAGGAAGTAGAATCAGTAGAATTTTGAATGTTATCGGGATTAGAAACATGAATTGTGGAATTATTAGAATCAACTAAATTATGAAAGGTTGTATTTGAATTCAAGTCAGTGGTGTTATCACATCCATCTTCAGAAAAATCTGCTTCGCAAGTCTCATTCTCTAACATTTTAATTATGTCTTCTAAACTTTTGGAGCTTAATTTATTGTCATTCTCTATCGCTTTATTTAGCTCATCTAAACTATTGGAGCTTGATTCATTGTCATTCTCTAACGCTTTAATTAGGTCATCCAAACCACTAGCATCAAAAATTGGACTGTCATTATTATTATTGTCATCAATCAGGCTATCATCGTTAGAAATTGACTTTGGAGTTGTTACATCCACCTTAGGAGTAGTTATGTTTTCATTAGGAGATTTAACATCATGAAAACCTGTGTTGCTATCAGGAGTTATTATATTATGAATTGTGGACGTATTAGTACCATCCAAATTATTGGAGCTTAATTCATTGTCCTCACATATTGGTAATTCATCGTCAGACGTATCTGCTTTGCATTTGTCATTCTCTAACGCTTTAATTAGGTCATCCAAACCACTAGCATCAAAAATTGGACTGTCATTATTATTATTGTCATCAATCAGACTATCATCGTTAGAAATTGACTTTGGAGTTGTTACATCCACCTTAGGAGTAGTTATGTTTTCATTAGGAGATTTAACATCATGAAAACCTGTGTTGCTATCAGGATTTATTATATTATGAATTGTGGACGTATTAGTACCATCCAAATTATTGGAGCTTAATTCATTGTCCTCACATATTGGTAATTCATCGTCAGACGTATCTGCTTTGCATTTGTCATTCTCTAACGCTTTAATTAGGTCATCCAAACCACTTGCATCAAAAATTGGACTGTCATTATTATTATTGTCATCAATCAGACTATCATCGTTAGAAATTGACTTTGGAGTTGTTACATCCACCTTAGGAGTAGTTATGTTTTCATTAGGAGATTTAACATCATGAAAACCTGTGTTGCTATCAGGAGTTATTATATTATGAATTGTGGACGTATTAGTACCATCCAAATTATTGGAGCTTAATTCATTGTCCTCACATATTGGTAATTCATCGTCAGACGTATCTGCTTTGCATTTGTCATTCTCTAACGCTTTAATTAGGTCATCCAAACCACTAGCATCAAAAATTGGACTGTCATTATTATTTTTGTCATCATCAATCTGACTATCATCGTTAGCAATTGACTTTGGAGTTGTTACATCCACCTCAGGAGTAGTTATCTTATCATTTAAAGGTTTAACATCAGTAAAATTTGTTAAACTCTGAGGAGTTGTTGTATCATTTGGAAGACCAACAGAATTTTCCTCGGGTAAGGGAAAATCAGTAGAGCTTGGATTGGTATCAGTAATTGTCATATTCACACATTTTCCATCTTGACAGTACTAAAATACACAAAACATTCTGTTTAATAGCGTATTTAGAGAGATGTTCTTAATTTCTAGAAATTTATTGAATAAGAATTCTTATAAATTGTGTGAATTGAAAAGTTAAAAATTTTCTTACCCCATTCTCCTGGCATGGAAATCCATCTTGTGCTGTTACTTTTTTGTAAATGTCACTTGTATCATAAATATTTTCCTTTATAGATGAAGAATCATATGGGTTGGTATCAATATTGTTGTCCATTTCAATTTCGCAAATTAAGATACATTCCTTAATAGTTTTCTAAAGTACAGACAAATAAAATAATTTTAAACATCATTTGAAATGCGAAAAAATTAAATATTTAATTTGCTAATTTGAATACTAACATTTGAAAATTTTAACATTCCAGCTTCTTTACATTGTTCATCAGCAGATTTAAATTTATTAGGCATAATAGAAGAAGTATTATTAGAATCAGTAACATCAGGTACCGACTTATCGGTTATTTCTTCAACAACAGGAGTAGTTACTTTAACCACATTAATACACTTTCCGTAATGACAGTACTTAAAAAATTTAATATTAATCATCATTATTTTCGGAATATTTAATCAGAGAGTTTGAAAACAATTAAATAGAAAGTTTATGTATTGTAATTTAAAATATTTCTTACTCCGTCATTACCGCACGATGTTCCATAATAAGCGTCTATAATATTATAGTATGTGAATCCTTCTTTCGGAAACTTGCACTTTACTTGGCAGTTTTCAAAATAGGCCTAAAACAATAATTAAAATAGAAATAAATATTTAAATTTGTATCATTACTATAATTTTCATAAGAAATTGTTTAAACTAACATTGGTAACATTTTCTATTCCCATTTCTATGCACTGCTCTTCTGCGGTTTTATTAAATTTAGGCAGTTCAGAAAGTGATTGTGTTGTATTCAACGTTGCTTCAACACACTCTCCTCTCAAACAGTACTGAAAATTAAATATTTTTCGTTAAAGAACATTTTAATTTCTAAAAATTTTAATTGATATTCATGAACTTCTTACTTTTCCTATGTAACAAGGCGTTCCTTCAAGTGCTGGCATATTTGTATAAATTATATATCCTGTTTCCTTCAAACAGTTTATGCTTTGGCAAATGTCTGGATTCACCTTAAATAAACCACATTTTTTTAAATTTTATACATTTTTAATAATTTATAAATCATTCAGTTTTAGATTGATATCAAGATAATTAGATTTTTGTTTTTTCTTATCTTTTATAAAGATATCTTTATTTAAATGTCTGCATATTTTAAAACTTACATCTACTGCTCGGATATATCCTTTTTTTTGACATAGTTCGTCTGCTGTTATATATTTATCAGGCATAGTATAAGTATTATCATGATTAATACTGTCAGGTATTGAGTCATCAGGAACAACAATATCAGTTACTTCACTGTTATTCATACCAATACACTTTCCGTTATGGCAATACTTGAAAATTGTTAATAACAAATTAAAATTAAGTATTAAATCATAATTCTCATTTAATAGTAATCATCATTATTTTTGAAATTTTTAATCAGAGACATTGAAAACTATTAAATAGAAAATTTTTAAATTGTAAATTAAAATATTTCTTACTCCATCATTACTGCACAAAGTTCCATAATGAGCGTCTATAAACATAGAGTATGTGAATCCTTCTTTCGGAAACTTGCACTTTACTTGGCAGTTTTCAAAATAGGCCTAAAACAATAATTAAAATAGAAATAAATATTTAAATTTGTATCATTACTATAATTTTCATAAGAAATTGTTTAAACTAACATTGGTAACATTTTCTATTCCCATTTCTATGCACTGCTCTTCTGCGGTTTTATTAAATTTAGGCAGTTCAGAAAGTGATTGTGTTGTATTCAACGTTGCTTCAACACACTCTCCTCTCAAACAGTACTGAAAATTAAATATTTTTCGTTAAAGAACATTTTAATTTCTAAAAATTTTAATTGATATTCATGAACTTCTTACTTTTCCTATGTAACAAGGCGTTCCTTCAAGTGCTGGCATATTTGTATAAATTATATATCCTGTTTCCTTCAAACAGTTTATGCTTTGGCAAATGTCTGGATTCACCTTAAATAAACCACATTTTTTTAAATTTTATACATTTTTAATAATTTATAAATCATTCAGTTTTAGATTGATATCAAGATAATTAGATTTTTGTTTTTTCTTATCTTTTATAAAGATATCTTTATTTAAATGTCTGCATATTTTAAAACTTACATCTACTGCTCGGATATATCCTTTTTTTTGACATAGTTCGTCTGCTGTTATATATTTATCAGGCATAGTATAAGTATTATCATGATTAATACTGTCAGGTATTGAGTCATCAGGAACAACAATATCAGTTACTTCACTGTTATTCATACCAATACACTTTCCGTTATGGCAATACTTGAAAATTGTTAATAACAAATTAAAATTAAGTATTAAATCATAATTCTCATTTAATAGTAATCATCATTATTTTTGAAATTTTTAATCAGAGACATTGAAAACTATTAAATAGAAAATTTTTAAATTGTAAATTAAAATATTTCTTACTCCATCATTACTGCACAAAGTTCCATAATGAGCGTCTATAAACATAGAGTATGTGAATCCTTCTTTCGGAAACTTGCACTTTACTTGGCAGTTTTCAAAATAGGCCTAAAACAATAATTAAAATAGAAATAAATATTTAAATTTGTATCATTACTATAATTTTCATAAGAAATTGTTTAAACTAACATTGGTAACATTTTCTATTCCCATTTCTATGCACTGCTCTTCTGCGGTTTTATTAAATTTAGGCAGTTCAGAAAGTGATTGTGTTGTATTCAACGTTGCTTCAACACACTCTCCTCTCAAACAGTACTGAAAATTAAATATTTTTCCTTAAAGAACATTTTAATTTCTAAAAATTTTAATTGATATTCATGAACTTCTTACTTTTCCTATGTAACAAGGCGTTCCTTCAAGTGCTGGCATATTTGTATAAATTATATATCCTGTTTCCTTCAAACAGTTTATGCTTTGGCAAATGTCTGGATTCACCTTAAATAAACCACATTTTTTTAAATTTTATACATTTTTAATAATTTATAAATCATTCAGTTTTAGATTGATATCAAGATAATTAGATTTTTATTTTTTCTTATCTTTTATAAAGATATCTTTATTTAAATGTCTGCATATTTTAAAACTTACATCTACTGCTCGGATATATCCTTTTTTTTGACATAGTTCGTCTGCTGTTATATATTTATCAGGCATAGTATAAGTATTATCATGATTAATACTGTCAGGTATTGAGTCATCAGGAACAACAATATCAGTTACTTCACTGTTATTCATACCAATACACTTTCCCTTATGGCAATACTTGAAAATTGTTAATAACAAATTAAAATTAAGTATTAAATCATAATTCTCATTTAATAGTAATCATCATTATTTTTGAAATTTTTAATCAGAGACATTGAAAACTATTAAATAGAAAATTTTTAAATTGTAAATTAAAATATTTCTTACTCCATCATTACTGCACAAAGTTCCATAATGAGCGTCTATAAACATAGAGTATGTGAATCCTTCTTTCGGAAACTTGCACTTTACTTGGCAGTTTTCAAAATAGGCCTAAAACAATAATTAAAATAGAAATAAATATTTAAATTTGTATCATTACTATAATTTTCATAAGAAATTGTTTAAACTAACATTGGTAACATTTTCTATTCCCATTTCTATGCACTGCTCTGTTGCAGATTTATTAAATGTAGGATGTTGAGAAAGTGATGGAAATAATTCTTTTGAATGTTTATTATTTTCAGTTGTGTTGAAATTTACTTTAACACACTCTCCTCTCAGACAATACTGAAATTTATATATTTTTCATTAAAGAACATGAAATATTTTAATAACTTAAAATATTAATAGATAATCATAAATTTTTTACTTTTCCTATGTAACAAGGCGTTCCTTCAAGTGCTGCAATAGAAGAAAATGCTGTAGCCCCCGGCTCAACCCTCTTACATTGTATGGTTTTGCAAGAGACTGGATTCACCTTAAATAAAATAAAATTATTTAAATCATATAGATTTTTATTAATTTATAAATCATTCAGTTTCGTATTGATATCAAGATAATTAGATTTTTATTTATATTCTTAAAGATATTGTGGTATCTGCGCATTTTTTTAAAACTTACATCATATGCTCGGAGATATCCTTGTCTTTGACATTGTTCGTCTATTGTCATAAATTTACCAGGCAAAATTCTTAACATTTGTTCATTAGTTTCATTAACCAATGGATTATTACGAATGCATTTAGGAGCCTCGCTTCTAAATTTAAAAATATTTTCATTTTTATTAATTAATAAAATTATTCATACATTTTTTTATTGCATTAAAATAAACGAATTGAAAAGTTTATCAAATTTTAAATAGTGTCATAAAAACGTTTTTTTTTATTTTTTAAAATAAATAAATAATAACTAACCTGAGATAGTTAGACATAATTTTTTTAGAACACGTGGAAAAGTAATATTGTTTTTCGTCAATTGTGGTATAGCTCATAATGTAGCCATCATAAAAAGAACAGTGCTTCGCTGTTGAATCATCTTTCTCACCGTCATGAGGAGCTCCGAATCTTATAAAATAAAACAATAATATATAAAATATTAATATTATAATTTTTGAATATTTAATCTAAAACAATTCATACTTACAAATGACCTAATTCATGTGAAGCTGTATTTATTCCAGAAAAGGCAGTATTATCCAAAATAATCGCTGTAGAAGCTATTTTTTGTTCATAAGTGTTATTAACACAAGTACTTCCCAAAAATGCCCTACCTTGAAATTTTGTTACCTCGTCAGTAAATTTAATATGTAAAAAAAGCATATATTATATCAATTTAAAGAAGATATAATACCTGCAGTGCCCGAATTGAATAATGGATCTGCACCTAATAATACAGCAATATCGTAATCCTTTCCCAATTTGAATTGATCTTGATTGTACATAAATTTACCAAATTCGTCCAGTTTTTTTGAATATACTCTAAATGGATCATTTCCTAAAGGTTGATCCTTTAAATTTAAAAGAAATACATTAGAATTTGTTGAAAAAATAATGATCTTATAAGATCACATAAAAAACCTATGCACTTTTTTTTGAATCATCATCAAATCTAATTAATTTAATTGGATTTTTGAGTTAAATAACTTTTAATCTAATTCTAGATGATTTTCATGAGTTCTATTAATTATAAATTCGTATAAGAAAAATACCTGACACAATACAATTCCTGCAATGTTAAGACGAACTGACGGATTTTGTAATTCTCTAAAATCGAGATCCACTCCATTCCAAAGAGTTAGTGTATAAATTACAGTTTTTTCAATATCATAATCAAAGTGTCTAAAAAAAAATTTGTTTTAATATAAATGACTATTTCTATATCATAATTAAAAATAATGTCAAAAACTTACCGAAAAAGTGTTTTATCAACATAGACTAAAATTTCTGGATACACGGTGCTTAAATTTGATACATTGATTGGTTCATTATCAACTTGATCATAATTAATAACGCTATTCTAAAAGAAAAATTTATTTTTAAAATATAAATTTTATATTTTTTAATATAAAAATAATGTGCTTAACGAATTTTGTTTGATATTAAAGAAATAGTTACAGTACTTACAAATTGTGATTCTCCGTTTTCACTTACTGTCTGAAATACTTCAGATTCGGTTTGATTATTGTAAAAGAATGTAATATTATTTGATTTTCTCATAAACTAAAAGTAATATTGAATTATAAATATAAGATGTAGAAAATATATAAAAACTTTATTATTTATCAAAATTTATACATTATTTATTAAATTATTTAAGTTACATTAATAAATTAAATAAATATATTTAAATAATATATATTTAAAAATATGTTTTTCTTACATCTTCTTGTAGAGTATATACAAATTTATCGTTCACTTTCTTAGCTATCCAAACTTTTGTATTTTTACCAGCAAAATTATCGACAGTTTGTAAAATGAATTCTCTTTCAGTGTTATTAAGAGTAACATGAATTGATATTTCATTAGATCCTTTTTTACGAATGGAATCTTCAATAGATACTAAAAAATTTTTTTAAAAAAATATTTCTTTATTTGTTATATATATGAAAACAAATAAGAAATTTAACAATTCTGAAGAAAATCGTATTTACCTTCTACTGGAGGTGGTTCAATTATTTCTGATGATATTTCATTACCAAAAGTGTATGAGAATGGAGCAATAAATGCACAAAGTAAAATACAGATATAAATCATTTTTTAATACGTAATGATTATTTCTATATAGATGCCGAAATTATTTCATATAAATAGTAATTTTAATAATTTTAAATAATTTTATTCCTGTAAAATAATTTTCTTAATAATAATTTAATATAAACAGAAGTTGATTGTTTAAAAAAAAATTAATTTGTTGGTTTTTAAAGGTATACAATTTTTTCAATTTTTAAACTCTTACCAGGAATAAAATTTTCTTTATGGAACAAATAGAATTCTGTAGGTGCACATATACACACCGCTAGTTTTTAATAATGTTTTCGTAAGTTAAATATTATTATCTACTTTAAATAAAAAAAATAAAAAAGTTTTCGATTTTGCGTCAATTGATTTTAATATAATAGACACATATCACCTTGAATAAAATTATTCTAAATAATTTTAGTGTTTATTTTCCTTTGTTAAATTTATTAAATGTAATTGAGATTATTTTGATAGTGCAACATTTAATTTTTCATTGGATCAGACACTGATAACATCACATTGAATAAATTGATTTTAATAATTTTATAAATGTTTATTTTTCTTAACTTTCGTGTTTAGGTTACGTAAAACTTGGTCAATATATTGAAATTTGAATTTGAAATATTATAATTCTTCGATTAATGTGATGTAACCCGCATGAAAAACGAACTATGGGAAAAAGCTATCAAAAGCTGGCAAAAGATGGGAGAAGATTTTCGCCATTGTTTTTAAGTTTTATCCCATACTTCAAAGAATTGCAAAAAGCTCACAAACCATTGCTTATGAGCCTTTCCCATACTTTTTTTTAATATTATATAACATTGCTAAAATCTTGCCAAAGTATTGCAAAAATATGGGAATAAAATAAAGTCAATTTTTTCTAACTTACTTCTTATTTTTCTCATTTTTTTTCTGAAAATCATTGCAAAACAATGGGAAAAAGATTAAGAAAGAAAAAATTTATTTTTCTCATTTTTTCATCTTTAAAAATTAGATTTTTAAAGTATTGCTAAAACCTGGCAAAAATATACGAACAAAATTAATCAATCTTTCTTGTTATTTTAGCTTTAAAAATCTGATTTTTGAAGTATTGCAAAAATATGGGAAAAAGATTTTGAAAGGAAAAATCAATTTTCCTCTATTTTTCAACTTTAAAAATTAAATTTTTAAAGTATTGCAAAAATATGGGAAAAAGATTTTGAAAGAAAAAATCAATTTTCCTCTATTTTTCAACTTTAAAAATTGGATTTTTAAAGTATTGCAAAAATATGGGAAAAAGATTTTGAAAGGAAAAATCAATTTTCCTCTATTTTTCAACTTTGAAAATTTGATTTTAAAAGTATTTTCCTCTATTTTTCAATTTTAAAAATTTAAGTTTTAAAGTATTGCAAAAATATGGGAAAAAGATTTTGAAAGAAAAAATCAATTTTCCTCTATTTTTCAACTTTAAAAATTAAATTTTTAAAGTATTGCAAAAATATGGGATAAAGATTTTGAAAGAAAAAATCAATTTTCCTCTATTTTTCAACTTTGAAAATTTGATTTTTAAAGTATTGCAAAAATATGGGAAAAAGATTTTGAAAGGAAAAATCAATTTTCCCATATTTTTGCAATACTTTAAAACTCAAATTTTTAAAATTGAAAAATAGAGGAAAATACTTTAAAAATCAAATTTTTAAAATTGTAAATTAGAGGAAAATTGATTTTTTCTTTTCAAACTTTTTCCCATATTTTTGCAATACTTTAAAAATCAAATTTTTAAAGTTGAAAATTAGAGGAAATTTATTTTTTCTTTCAAAATCTTTTTCCCATATTTTTGCAATACTTTAAAAATCAAAATTTTAAAGCTGAAAAATCGAGAAAGATTGATTTTTTCTTTCCAATCTTTTTCCCATGATTTCGCAATACTTTAAAAAACAAAGTTTTAAAGTTTAAAAAATAAGGAAAATTGATTTTTTCACTACCAATCTTTTTCCCATATTTTTGCAATACTTTAAAAATCAAATTTTTAAAGTTGAAAAATAGAGGAAAATTGATTTTTTCTTTCAAAATCTTTTTCCCATATTTTTGCAATACTTTAAAAATCAAATTTTCAAAGTTGAAAAATAGAGGAAAATTGATTTTTTCTTTCAAAATCTTATTCCCATATTTTTGCAATACTTCAAAAATCAGATTTTTAAAGCTAAAATAACAAGAAAAATTGATTAATTTTGATCGTATATTTTTGCCAGGTTTTAGCAATACTTTAAAAATCTAATTTTTAAAGATGAAAAAATGAGAAAAATAAATTTTTTCTTTCTTAATCTTTTTCCCATTGTTTTGCAATGATTTTCAGAAAAAAAAATGAGAAAAATAAGAAGTAAGTTAGAAAAAATTGACTTTATTTTATTCCCATATTTTTGCAATACTTTGGCAAGATTTTAGCAATGTTATATGATATTAAAAAAAAGTATGGGAAAGGCTCATAAGCAATGGTTTGTGAGCTTTTTGCAATTCTTTGAAGTATGGGATAAAACTTAAAAACAATGGCGAAAATCTTCTCCCATCTTT